TAAATTTGCTCAAATCCTTCCTCTAATGACTGTCACTCCAAAGAAACAGAGTAGGAAAATGCTGGTAACTGTAGAGTTCCAAGGTCCCAGTGAACAGAGGACAATTTGCTTACAGCCTTGTCCTTCATAGGAGCTATGCATTCTTCTTGAAGTAAAAGTCAAGTTTTTAGATGAGTATGGTGGCTCAAGCCTGTGATCCTAGCTACTTGGGAAATGGAAGTCAAGAAATCAGAGTTCAAGGCCAGCCCAGGGAATAAACATACTCAAGACCCCATCTCAACCAAAGGCTTGATGTGGTGGCTCGCACTTATGCTAGTTACAGTGGAAGCACAATGGCTGGCCCAGGGGCATATGCCTCATATAAAAGATCACATAATAGTATCATAGCTCAGGTCAGCCGTGGCACAAAGCAAGACCTATCTTGAAAACAATCCATGTAAAAAGAGGCTGGATTTCTGGCTCAGCTGGTAGAGCACCTATCTAGCAATGTAAGATCCCGAGTTCCATCCCTAATACTTACAAAAAAAATTATTTTTTTTCTGCTTCCAAAATGGCAATTTTTATGATTATAATAGAACAATGTTTAAGGAAACACATTCCATAAAATCAAGGCAGGTGTACTGAAGGGGGATGGAATGATGGAATGCAAGGCATTTATCAAAACATAAGAAATTTTCCTGAGTTCCTATGTGCTCAGCATTATGTTAGGAAAACAAATATATTAGGCAGAAAATTGTCACTAAAAGGAATGTGAGGTGTGTTTTATATGTTCTTTCTCTATTTCTTCCAATTACAATGCTCTGTATCAACCTCCAACTTTGCTTCAGTCTCCATCTCCTTGTCTGTGTTTCTTCTTATGGGCTTCCACCTTGCAAAATCTCTCTACCTCATGGTAGCATGTATACTTCTCAGATAGATCTTGATTTCTGACACACACACACACACACACACACATACATACATATATATATATACTTCTCCTTCTGTGATAAAATTTAACTCATATTTAATTAAGAGTGCTTCTTATGAATAGGAAATTTGAAGGAACAGAGTAATTTGAAGTAAATTCTAACAGACATAAGTAATCAGGCATCTTAAAATTATAATATGTGAATGAAAGATATTGCTTTATTTTTCCCATTATTCTTCTGTAACTATTAATTTCCCTATGAGCTATTAAAGTCCAGAGACCAAAAGAAACACTAATGAAAGAATGAAATCTAAAAAGGTGTCCAGAAAACCAGATTGTTTTAGGGTTCCCCCCCAATATTTTATTGTTTCATCATACTTTGAGGCACATTCCATTTCCATTTACAAAATATTTATTTTTATTGTAAAGGTAATATACAGGGGGTTACAGTTACATAAGTAGGGCAAGGAGTACATTTCTTTTTGAACAGTTGGCAGCTCTTTCCTTATTTTCTCCAGATTTTCCCTCCTGCCGTCCCCACCCCGCAAGCTGTATCGTTTGTTTTCAACATAGTGTCTAGTGAATATCACTGTTGCATGGGTTCACTGGTTGTTCCTCCATTTCTGTGTTCCCCTACCCTCCCTCAAACAGATGAACTTACATACAAGACAAAAGGTACAAAGAAACATACTAAAAGCAGAATCTTAGCCATGAATCATGAGATGCATCAGTTCCTGAAACTAGCTATAAGCAAAAGCAGGAAATCCTTTCCAGTCCTGATATAGCTGAGTCGGTGGGTAGGTTCTGCTGCCTGCCTTGGTCAGTCATCAGAAGAGGTAGGTCTGAGGAACAAAGGCTCTCAAGTCAACTCACTGAAATGCTTTATAGGTTGTGGTCTAGTTCCTGAATGTCAGACTGCATTGCAAACCCTGCATTCTATTTCTTTCAAACTAGTTTCTGCACTGGCCTTGTCAATGTTTCCTTTCATTCGCTTTCTTTCATTCTCCTAAACATTATTCAGTGTAAAGAGTAAGATATTTCTCCTAAGATTATTCATTTTATTTCAGGTCACTGGAATCAAGATACCACTCAAATTTAAGTCTTGATATAGGACATTAAAATGACTCGATAAACTAGGACCTGAGGGAAATAACGGCTATGCAACTTGTTTTATATTTATGGTTTTTTTTGTCAGTGTGAAGAATCAAACTTCAAAACTCACATATGAGAACTATACCAGTGAGCCATACCCCCAGTCTATTTTAATAAGGTTTTATTAAAATGCAGCCCAAACTCCGTTATTTGCCTATTGCCTACAACTGCATTTATGTGCATCACCAGAGTAGTTATGATGAAGACTATACTGCATGTGCTTCTGAAACATTTGCAATCTGGTCCTTTGTGGATACCATTCACTTGCCAACAATTTAATGGAGAGAATCACATATGGCAAGAGTAGAAATCCCCAAACTAAGAGTACAGAAGAATCCAATGTATATCTTACAAAGTTGAGAAAAGTGAGCAATAGATGAGAATGTTGAAAGGAATGAACTGATCAAGATGCATTATATTCATAAACCACTTTGTTAAATAGCAACTCCTTCTTTATACAACTACTTGAAGAGAATATAATAAAAATAAGAGAAATCTCCAATTCAGTGCCATCCTTGAACAATGTACACAAGAAAATGTAGATCTGTGCCAGGGCTCATTTCTCCTAAGAAGAGCCTTTCTAGCACTAGCAGCGATTTTCTTATTAGAGAGAGATCAGTAAGTTCAGTGTAGGATAGACTCTCAGGTCAACAGTAAGCTTGTTTCAGAAGCACTTACTATGTACTTCATTCTCTTTGGATGTGGCTGCCTTGACTGCTTATACCACATGTTAAATGTTTTGTTACATCTTTATTTTCGCAAAGAAGTTTTATTTAGAATTTTTCCAGTCTACTGGAGTGATGTAAGGTCAGTGTGACCTCGGGGACTAGTAATACACTGACCAGGAAAGTGGCTGGAAAACTAAGGAAAAACACAGTCCATAGAGGAAAAGGATATGAACTTGCTTTCAGAAGATCGTAACTCTCGTTGCTGCCAATACAAATGTTAACATATTTGCTGAAGCCCAATCAGACTTCAATTAAGACACAAGATCAAATAGTCTCCCAAGGCTACTAAGCCACGTGCATGGGAAAGAACGACAGCAAATACAGACTAATTAAATATATAAACACATGTCGTGGGCTACCATGCGTCCAAAATTAGGATGAGAATAGAATACCAAACAATTCTTCTAAAATAAAGGCATATGAGAATTTCCCAGAGCTAAGCTGAGGAATGGGACCCCCCCCCCCCTCACACAGAGCAACAAGGTCATGCAGGAAAATGCATTAATATGACTAAGGACAGGTATTGACATATGGATATTGACATCTTCCTATGTATTCACAGCATCATATAGTTTAAATCAACCCCTCTATTACTTTCTTATCCTTCCTTTCCCTTCTTCCCCTTCCATCTCTTGCCATCTCCTTTCATTTTCATGACTTTGATTTTTTTAACTTCTTTATTGTAAAGATGCTGTACAGAGGGGTTATAGTTACATGAGTAATAAGTATATTTCTTGTCTAGCATTGTTACCAATCCTTTGTTTTTCTCCCACTATCCCTTCCCTCTCCCCATCCCCTCCCCTACAGTTGTAAAGTTTATTTCCGACATAGGGTGTTACAAGTATCGTTGTTGCAATGGGTCATCCTGTATCCTTGTTTCAGCATTTTGTTATTTCCCTTCCCTTCCCCAAATCAGATAAATGTATATACAAGACTCAAGGCACCAGAATCAAAATCAGTGATTGCCAGGGATAAACCAATGGAAAAAGAAAAATGAATTTTTTTATCTCCTCAACAAATGAGAGAAATGTGTTACTTGATTCTATAAGGCTGTCTTCTTTCATCCAACAAATGAATCTACAATTCCATTTGTTTTCCAGAAAATGACACAATTTTGTTCACCTGTATTATTAAGTAAAGTTCCATTTTTGAAGCTACATGATAAGCTGAGATCAGGAAAATCACAGTTCCAGACCAAAAAATTAAATAAATCATGAAAAGTCCATCTCAACAGAAAACCCTGGATGTGGTGGTATATACCAGTCATTCATCTGATTATGGACCAGCTAACCCAGATCCTTATCTACAGACATGGAAATATATTCCAAGATCAAAAAATAAAAAACAATTAAATCATATGTATGCATACATGTTATATACATATATGTAAATATACACAGACAAATGTATATGCATATTTATAGTATATATCTACATATGTGTAAAGATATGATTATATGCCTATGCATGTAAAACATTTAATTTTCATAGACATATACTTAGGATAAAATTGTGTTTACAAATAAGGCATAGTAAGAAATGAATAATAATAATAATAAAGAACAAACACGAAAATATACCTAATGAGAGTTATTCAAAAGTTGGGAGTTGTTTATTATTAGAAAGTTTCATTTTTTATTTTTGGTTCATTGTTGACTTGAGGCAACAATGAATAGTTTCTCTTAAGAAACTATGGAAGGCAAAACACAGATAAGGGAAACTTCAATATATGTACCCCTGACATATAATAAGCTCTAGAAAAACGCAAGTTATTGTCTTGTTTTACATTCACCTTTTCATTTATCATTTCCCACTATTATAATTTTACTTTCCTCAGGAAATAAGTCATTTCTACTGATAATCGCAACATGGAAGAAGATCAGTACTTCCCTGAAGCGAAGTATTTAATTGTGAATAGGACAATATCTTAATCTCCGAAGATTCCAGGTTTAAGAAGATCCTCAGGAATGAATTCACCATTGAGGCGATCCAGTGCCTCCGCAGTTTGTCTGGGAATCTGGGAACCTGTACCTTCAATCCAACACAATTTCCTACCAGATGTCTTTGTTCCTTCTATTCCCATAACCGTCTAAAAAACTGCTGATACTGAACTTTGACTCTGACTTATCTTCCATCCATCATAGTTTCCAGTGATATCACCATTCTGGCACCTATAGCCATGGGTATCAGTGATAAATCTGGTATATAAATAGCTGTGGAAGAAAGACTTCATTCTATTGCACAGTCCAGATCCACTGAGCAACCATGAAGACCTTCATCTTCCTTGCTTTCCTGGGGTTTGCTGGTGAGTGTCTCTAATAAATAAATATCAAGTTTATAAGTAAGTTTGTGCATTGTGCTCTGGATAAAACAATGATGGTTGAATACAGGCTTTGTACATAAGTAGCTTAAAATGTTCAAATAGGTTTGAGGAATGGATAAAGTGGTAGAGTACCTGCTTAGCAAACACAAGGTCCTGAGTTCAAACCCCAGGACCATCAACCAAAGAAGTTTCCATGACAGTGCATAATGAGTTTGTATACAGAAAGCTAAATCTCCTTTGTCAAAGGACAATTATGATGCTGAGGAGCAACTCAGAGTAGAGGGCATAAGGAAGAAAGAGTTTCCCTGAACTTCCAGGTAAAGTTTATAAATTAGGAGAGAAATAGAAGAGTCTATTTTTTAAAAATACAGAAAAAGAAAGAAGAAGAAACATTGCTCTTGACCTTTCTAGAATTTGGAGTTAATAATTGAAGGTGATCTATATACTTTAAAGAAGTTAAGAACATCAACCTCTGAATCTCCTGAACTCTAAGGGCTGGTTACTTAGCCAAGGAAATGTAAAATACAAAACAGGAATCTATTTATTATACATAATTATGTACAATATGTAATTACATCATATATATAATAAATTATATATATATATATCTGTTTTGCAATAGGGTTTTCTTATATTGCTAAGGGTGACCTGAACCTTGCCATTTAGCATAAACTCATGATCCTCCTGTTTCAGCTTCCAACGTGCTGGAATTATAGGTGTGCCTCAGTACTCTAGTTGCGTTATGATCTCTTTACTAATAAAATCTTCATGGTCTACACTCGCACAACATTCCATTCTTAAAACTATTTTTTAAATGGCTATTTCTATTTGAGGCTGCCAAGTTTTAGATGACTAAAACTTAATCTGAATGTTTCACAAATCTAGCCAATATAAATTTGATATCTCTTGTCTATCTGTCTACAAGCCTGGAAATATCTTTGTTAAAATCCTGTTGCAATATTGAAAAAATGAGTCTCATAAAATATAATATCAGACTTCATAAAAAATATTGATATCAGTGGGTACTACTTGCTGAATACATTAATAAATATTGGAAATATTATTGGTACATGGCAAACAGAAGATGAATATTTTAATATTCTGTAAAATGATTTAATACAAATTTCAGGCTAGAATCAAAGAACTTGAGGAAAACAAGTAAAGACCTCTAATTTCCTTCTGAGCTAGAATATTCTCAGGAGGAGGCTGAGAAGGTTTTCTGTTTTGGTACTTTAAGATCTGGTTATGCCATATCACTGTTTCATTCACAGACACAGGACAGTGCAGTCACAGCAAAGTTCTCTCCATACGTTCATGACCACAGAATGGTGTCTCATGTAAAATAAATTCTTTAGATCCTCAGGTTGTAGCAGCCACATAATAATTGTGAAAAGAATCTCTGACCTTTTTGCTTTTTGGTTTGGGGAAATGTGTGTTTGTGTGTGTGTGTGTGTGTGTGTGTGTGTGTGTGTGTGTGTGTTACCTTTGTGAGAATACAATATGTTATTCAAATTCAAATTATCAAATGAAATTGTTAGATATTATGAACAGTGATATAAAAAGGATAGATTTTTGAAAGTATAAAATAATGAAATTTAGAAAAAAAAACCTTAAAACTACCATTTCCTAATTATATGAAACAACAGAATGTTGTTAGCACTTTTCTCATGATTCTACGAAAACTTCATGAATAGAAATTGAATGATGGATCCATTTTAAGAGAATGCGATAGTTTGAATGTGAAATACCCTCAACAGGATCATGTGTTCTAGCCTAGGTCTGCAGCCAGTGGTGCTATTTTGGAAGTTCTGGAAACTTTAGGAGGCAACTAGAGGGAGTAGCTCACTGGGGCAAGAAGGTTCTTTGGTGTATCTCATCTCTGGCTTCTTCCTGTCCCTCTCTGCTTCCTGGCTGCCATGTGTTGAACAGCTCAGCGCTGTCATACTCTCCATGCTTGATGTACCAGAACCTCTGAAACTGCCCACCCAATTACATCCTTCCTCCCTTGGTTGTTTCTGTCAGGTATTTTGCCACAGTGGCACCAAAAGAACTCATACAGAGAGTCCCAATGTTTTCTCTGACAGTGGCCCTCCCTGTTGATGATGATGACGACAAGATTGTCGGGGGCTATACCTGTGCGAAGAATTCCGTCCCATACCAGGTGTCTCTGAATATTGGCTACCACACCTGTGGAGGCTCCCTCATCAACAACCAGTGGGTGGTGTCTGCAGCCCACTGCTACAAATCGTAAGTTACCAGCTTTCACATTCCCAGAGTCTAAGAGAAGATCAGGACAAACTATAGAGTTAGGTAATGGGTAAAGCCTTCAGCATCTAAGAGCCTGATTAATATTCCTTTAAGAAGTGTATGTTGCTCTGAGATTCATTTAAATGGAGCTCACTAACATCTCCATAAATAATGATACAAAGGACATGAAGGACAAGGTTTGCTAATCAAGTGTCCCTGGAAATAGCATGAGAACATGGACCATTATACAACCCCAATAGTCAGAGCTGAACCACAGGGAAAGGAGATAGGGAGACAATGAAACACATTTGATTTCCACTAAAATGTGAATTAAGCAAACATTTTCTGCTGTTTCTGGCATCTGCCTCATTTTCCTATGAACCTCAGGGATCTCAGCCAGAGGAGATATGTTCAGCCTCCACCCATCCCCTCTTTACTCACAATTCTTTTGTAGGGGTCCTTTGGTTCCCATTTCTAGCCCTTGGAATTCTAACACTATGTTCATTAGGAATACTTACTTAACGAGTTCTCTAGTGAGCACCACAGGTGATAGTGCACAATGTTACCTTGAACTGCACCATAAAGTGTTTATGGTCACCATTGGGAGCTTGCGGGGAGGGGGGGTGGAGAGAAAGGAGATCAAATTGAATATATGAGAAACTTTTAATTTTTAAATTCCAGCAAGATCCAGGTACGACTGGGAGAACATAACATCGACGTCGTTGAGGGCGATGAACAATTCATCAATGCAGCCAAAATCATCAAGCACCCCAAATACAAGTCATCTAGCTATGATAATGACATCATGCTGATTAAACTGAGCTCAGCTGCCACTCTTAACTCTCGAGTAGGCACTGTCTCTCTGCCAAGATCCTGTCCATCTGCTGGTACTCAGTGCCTCGTGTCTGGCTGGGGCAACACCCTGAGCAGCGGCAGTAAGTATGACCTGAAAACCAACTAGAGAGTGTAAGAGTACTGGAGATGAGAGTTAGTCAAAATCAGGTAGTCTAAATCATCCCACAGGGCAAGGTTGGTTCAAGAATTATTTTGGTCCTCAGTAATCTTAGACTTACACTAATTAAACTGAGAAAGTTCACTTTGCTGAGGCCAGGCAAGAGACAAGAAATAGGAAGAAATAGGAAGGGTAGATGGGATACAGCTGAAATGCAATTAGTGATATGCTGAGAACTAGAAACAGCAGATGTAACAGCACAGAGTTTATGGCATTCAGAGCTTCCTAATGCACATAAAGTCTCTGATTTGGGATCTATGGGTGCTGATGCTAATGTCAAAGAAAGAACAATAGAGCAGAAGTACTTGGAAAACCTTCCTGAACAAAAAAAAAACAGCAACCACAAAATGTCTTCAAAATCAGAGGTCATTAGCACAGTGGATGGAAAGACATTTTATTAAAGAAAGGAGGTAGAGTGTGAAAGAAGTTTCCAGAACACTGTGGCTAACCTTCAATTTTCATTCTTGTGCACACCAGGCAACTATCCCTCACTTCTGCAGTGTCTGAAAGCACCTGTCCTATCTGACTCCTCCTGCAAAAGTGCCTACCCAGGCCAGATCAGCAGCAACATGTTCTGTCTGGGCTTCCTCGAAGGTGGGAAGGATTCCTGCCAGGTGAGTGTCTTTGGCCTTCTCCCTCCTGTTTCTGCTTTGAAACAGAAAAGACTATAAAATAGTCTCTGGGACTGTAAGTTGAGGCTTGCCATAAATTATAAATTGTCTCTATGATAATGCTGTTGGAATTAAGGGAGAAACAATGGAAGATGGCCTGCAAACATTACCCCTAAGTGCCCATCTCAGGAATAATATTATTTAATGGAACCTTTGGGAAAGAGACAGAGGTATTGGCATATCTTTAACTACAGCAGGGCTTCACCTCTTCTTGGTCAAGTCAGCCTATGAAGGAAGAGGAGGAAAACAGGGACAGAGTCAGGAGTTGGAATGATGGAATCCATATAGGCATATAGATGGTTCTTTACAATTGGTCCTAGGTTAATGGAGGAACAATTTGGCTTCGGTTCTAGTATCCAGACATAAACCAGTGCGCTCACTATCTTTTCCATCTTGTTCAGGGTGACTCTGGTGGCCCCGTGGTCTGCAATGGACAGCTCCAGGGTGTTGTCTCCTGGGGCTATGGCTGTGCTCTGAAGGGAAAACCCGGAGTCTACACCAAGGTGTGCAACTACGTGAACTGGATTCAGCAGACCATCGCTGCCAACTGAGCACCTCCCTCTCCCCGTGGTCTGTCCCCTGCAGTCACTTAAACTGCTCTATTCATGAAGTCAACATCTAAATAAAAGCATTTTGTTCGGTTCCATAACTGCCCAGGTCTGGTGATTGCTTGGGATTGGTTGATGAAACTTACTCATAATTGAGAAAGTGAGCTCAAGAATTGAACTTTTTATGGAGACAGTTTGAAAGGCTTAATATTCCACTCAAATATAATTAGATCATATAATAGATACATTTTTATAAGACTGTCAACATACATCCTTGATTAAAGTTCTGGGGGTTCTGCTTTGGGTTTTGATTTTGGTTTCATTCTTGTTGAGATAGGGAATGCTATGTAGTCCAGGCTGGTCTTTCAATCTTCCTGCCTCTCCCTCTTACCTGCTCTGATTAGAGACATGTACCAGCATACTCAGCCTGGTCATAGTTTGGTTGTTGAGGATTTGATCTCAAGACCCTCCCCGGGAATGGACCTGTCTCAAAATACAAAGTGAAGGGAATGGGGATGTTACTTAAGTGGTAGAAGGCTTGCCTGATGTATTTGAAGCCTATGGTTCAACCCAAGTACCACTAAAGAAATGGTGGTTAACATTTTAACAATCCAATGGGATTTCTCTGCAGCCAAAGGATAGAAAGTGTCAGACAGGCAAAAGGATTAGGGGTGATAATGACAATTTCTAAGGAGCTTCTCTTACAATAAAGCTATGAGATCAGGACTATTACATACAGACAAGGTTTTCACTTCTGGGTTTTAAGTGGGGTAAGAAATGATTTAAAGCTAGAGTCTTTGAGTTGACTACCAACTTTTGAGTTGTACCTTTTACAGTTATATATAAGGAATATCCACATTTAGCTGCTTATGCAAGTGTTCACCTTTTAAATAGAGAGTATGCATGCTTAGTAGTAGTTTTATTAAACTTTTGTGTGTATGTATGTGTGCCAGAACTGAGGCTTGAACTCAGGGCCTGGGGGCTGTCCCTTAGCTTTCTTGGCTCAAGGCTGGCAAATCTATCACTTGAGCCACAGCTCCATGATCTTGCCCTTGAAATTGCTGCTAAGTGAGAATGTGGACAGAGAACTGAGTCATTTTATGGAGACATTTAGAAAGACCCCTTAGAATGTCATTAAATAGTATTTGGTAATTTCTTAGCATCAGATACTTATTAAAAAATGTTACATTGCACAGTCGGTGAATTATTTTATGGCAGATCATATCTTCATAACTCAGCATACATTCTGACACTAAATGGGAGACAGTGAGAATCAATTTCTGATAAGTCATTCATAGTTCATAAATGAGCTATGACAAACTTGTGATGGAATGTGTGTCCTCATGGTATTCTTCACTTCATCTCAAACTCTTCTGAGGCTCAATAATGAAACACCCCATGTCAATAACAGGTTTCTAGAATTTTTCAAGGTCTTGCCTTGCTATGCTTCTTAGTGTTAGGAAACTGAGTGATGAGTGTTAGGAAAGATCAAACGGAGGAGACAAGAGAAAGAAGGCAGAGGCCTAAACAGACCAGAACAGGCTTCAATCATGGCTGCAGAGGGCCAGGGAGCGGGGAGCAGGGACGGCTTGGGTTTTTATGTATTAAGGGTTCCTTTCGAATGTCTTGTAGCTGTAGCAGACTGTCTCATGTCCTTCCAGCTGCGTCAGTCGGTACATTTTCAGGTAAGGTCGGGGTGAGCTGAGTTATGAGAAGCAAGCCGTTTCCCATTGGAGACGTCGCCACATACCCTCTGCATTCGTTCTATTCTGTGTGGCAACACCTCTAACACAAATGAGTTTAGCATTCCCCACTGACATTCTTTGTGCGCCCTGTGTGACCACCTTCAAACCATGCTTACTATCGGCACCACTGCTCATCAAGAGAGGTGTATTTCAGACCTGACAAGGGAACTGAGGTACATGCAAGACTGGAAATCAGAGCAGCTCCCAGTGATGGAAGGCAACAGGTCCAACAGGTCATTTGTGCTTGCTGCCGTCCAGTAGCAACACATCAGTGTTGTCTCTTGATATATCTGTCTGTTGTTTAAAGAATAACTAGTCATTTGGCCATGCTTGGGTTTGAACTCCAGGCCTAATGTTTACTAGGCAGAACCAAGATTCATCGGCATTATCAGAATACCAATTTTCACTAAAGAAAATTCAAGGAGAAATAAATTGTTTGTAAAATTATTTCCATCAGAAAAATATCCTTAAGAAAATGTCTGCGTATAGCCAATTATGCAGATCAACTATGTTAACATGCATGGGAATGATGGCTTCTTAGAATTTCATGCTTTTTAGAATGCATCTCCATAAGGCACTTTATAAATTGGCCCTAAGAAGCATTATTATTAATTATTATTACTATTACTAGTAGTATTGGATTATTTGAATTTCTTTAGAAATTCCAACAACAACTTATTAAGCATTCTGATTGTTTTAAACATTTAGATAGATACAATAAGCCGGGCGCTGGTGGCTCACGCCTGTAATCCTAGCTACTCAGGAGGCTGAGATCTGAGGATCGCGGTTCAAAGCCAGCCCGGGCAGGAGAGACCGTGAGACTCCTATCTCCAATAAACCACCAAAAAACCAGAAGTGGCGCTGTAGCTCAAGTGGTAGAGCGCTCGCCTTGAGCTGAAGAGCTGAGGGATAGTGCCCAAGCCCAGAGTTCAAGCCCCGCGACCGACGACCAAAAACTAAAAAAAAGATGGATACAATAATACAAAATAAAATCAAGGTGATTAATTTTTTAAAATAAGTTCTGCTTTGTCTTTCTTTTAATCAACACATTTTTCTTGATACCACTTTTTTGGTCCCAAAATTTCTGATAAATTATGTTTTCATTTTCATTTCATTCTAGGAATTTATTTTTCATTCCTCTGCCCCATTATTTATTTCTCCAGTGACAAACTGACAATTCCAAAGGAAATTATTCAGTATTTAGTTTTGTTCTGTTGTGGTCTGATTAAAAAAAAACAGGTTGTCATTTCAACTTTCTTCTACATGTTAAGACTTGCTTTATGTGCTATAATGTGATCTATCCTGGAGAAATTTCCAGGGGTTGCTTAGAAGAATGTATTCCATGGCTAGTGGATGAAATATTCTATTAATGTCTAGTGAGTCCATTTTATCTATAGAGCCATTAACTTTGAAGTTCCTTGTTGAATTGTGTTCTATGCATTTTGTCACGGAGCCCTGAGGAGTTTCAGACAGACACGTCGATTAACCGCTCTTCATGGCTTGGCACAGGCTTTTAGACCTACATCCCTATCCTTTTTGGTTCAGGGATAGGACATAGTGCCACTGGCAGCTATTGTGCTTGAGTACATTCCCAGCTCCAATATCCTGAATCCTGGCAATTGTGGACGTTATCCTTTCTGGCTGTCATCTGAGAAGATTTAATCTGGGGATCAATAGACGCTGAGATAGCTCAAATGGCTGCCACAGTTGTGCTTGCTATTGAGCCTTGTGTTTTCCCTGTTTTTGCTTCCTCTCCTCTGTCTGGTCCCAGTACTGATAACATAGAAGGTAGTCTGTACTAATTGGCTAGAAGGGCTCCTACAACCCAAAGAAAGCTTCTGAAGCCTTTGTCATACATCAGGAGCTGGCCAAATAATAAAGTAGGTTCCCAGAATTATTTTGCTTTGATAAGAGTCAGGTCTACATGAGTATACTTCCTAAGGTAGTTTATAATCTTAACCTTAAAGAGGTCTAGGTTCTCATTTTGTGCCCAAGTTGCTCTTTTACAGTGTCAAAGCCAGTCTACTGGTTGCCACATTTTCTCATATACTCCAGGAGATACTATATTATTATTAAAACATCCTACTTAACCATGATTTGATCCACAGTCCCAGGGGAATCAGTATTATTTACTGCGTACATCCATTATGCAGAAGCCCCAAGGGAGGTAGGCCAAGCAGCAAAATGCCTCACTCAAACTTCCAACATTTGTAATGAACATGCAGTTAGTTGATGCACAGATAATCACTTCCACAGCCAGCACAATGTTAGTTCAGTTGCATTGCCAATGGTCAAGAATGTCATATTACCTTGGTAAGAGCTCAGACTCTGAAGCCACATTTCCTATGTTGGAATCTTGATTATTCCACGTGATTTTTGTACAGTTTCATGGTTTACTTCTCATACTTTTGGTGCCTTTAATTTATAAATTAGCCGTATTAACAGTTTAACAACAACAATAGAATACCAAATATTGCAATGTGGCACAATAATTAGGTTTGCTATTTGCCATGTTGTTGTTTGTTTGTTCATTTTATTTGTGGAAGAGTCTTGACTTATTGCCTTGAACTTCCTAAGTAGACCAGGCTGGGCTGAAAGTGGAAATTTTCTTGCTTTAGTATCATACGAATAGGAATTACAAACAAGTACCACTACACCTGGCATTAGTTATTTTAAACTTACAGATTAGTTGTTTCTAGAATTTTCCACTACCTAACTTTATTTCACAATGAACTGTGGGTAACTGAACACATGGAGAGTGGAACCAAATGTAAGTATAATAAAGACCTATGACATATGATAAGGTCTAGATAACAGTGAGTTATTATCATTGTTTATCACTTACATAAATATTATCATTATTATCACTTCCCCTCCCAATCTAATTTCAAATTAGAAAAATATTTTTATCAGGTTAATTAGTTGTTCCAATTAATAATAAAGTTAATTTACATAACCAAAACTGATCTAAGACAAAGTGTTTATAATAGTGAGACAGTTGATGTTTATAAAACACAAGGGTTTTAGAATCGGGACAATCCTTAGAATAAAAGTTCACTTCTGAGACAATCAAGAAGGTAAGAGTTTTGTCTGGGAATATGGAAACATTCAGCTCTGTCCTGTGACCTCATTTTAGCTTATTTTCCTTTCATTAAGAGCAATGTCTATCAGGTGGGTTTGTTACTTCCATTCCCACAACCTTCAGGAAAGGTGGGAAGACTTGGATATTTAAATTCTATTCTGAAGAGTTTTCCATCTGTCACAGATCTGAAATCTAAATTTAGATTTCTGAGGTTCTGATGAAATCACCTGTCTGGCATGAGTTTCAGTGACAAAGCTGAAGTATAAATAGATGT